TATGGTCTCTATCCTTATTCATTTTGCTCCTGAACTTTTTTTTTAAAGAAAATGTTTTATGTATTTAGGTGTTACTTGAGCATTTAATGATTCAGTTACTGGACATTTAGATTCTTAGATCTATTAATCACATTGATTTATATGCTTAATCTTGAGCGTTAATCTTAATATTATTTTTAAAGCTTTTTTATTATGTGTATTTTAATTGGTACTGTGGCTCAGTGATTAGCACTGTCGCCTCACAGTAAGAAGTTCAGTGGTTTGCGTCCCAGCTGGGTCAGTTGGCATTTCTCTGTGAAGTTTGTGTGTTCTCAACATGTTGGCATGGGTTTCCTCTGGGTGCTCCGGTTTCCCCCACAGTCCAAACACAAGCTGTAGATGAATTGGGTGACTGTGTGAATGCGAGAGTATATGGGTGTTTCCCAGTACTTAGTTGCAGCTGGGAGGGCATCCGCTGCATAAAAAAAATAAGAATAGAATAGTTGGTGGTTCATTCCACTGTGGCGGTCTCTGAAATAAAGACTAAGCTGAAGGAAAATGAATAAATGCCTCTATATTTTATTTGTTCGTTTTGTGTTATTTGTAAAACTTAAAATAAAAAAAATGTTTAATGAGATTTTAAAAATCAGTTTTTAGTTCCAAATCCATATTGGTCACCGGACAGTTAAAACTATTGTAAAAGTGTATTAATTATTCAAAAAAGTGTAAAAGTGTATTAATCAATTTTACATGCATATATTTATTAAACTAATTTAGATGTCATTTATTAATTCATTCAGTCATTTGTTCATTCTAAAGTTTTTTCCTTTCGTTTCTGTAATATTGTTTTCTTTACCTTTTTTGCTGCATTGTTGACAAGAATAATCTTGTTGAACTTGAGTCTGCTGTTTTTTTTTTGTTTTTGTTTCTTTCTTTATAGTCCACAAGTGGAAATTTATCTTTGGCTTCACCACACAACCACATCAGTGTTCATATTACACATGTCACAGAAAAACAGGTCCTGTCCTTTTAGATTTTCTCATTTTAAGTGGAGAGTTCACAGAAGGGTACTTTAAATAAAAAAAATATATATTATAAAATAAATAAATAAATAAATAAATAAATATATATATATATATATATATATATATATATATATATATACTGTAGCATATTGAATATATAAATAGGTTGTACTTTTTTTGTAACATTTTAGAAAAAAGAAACATGCATGGTCTTGGTATTTGTTTGTTTGTTTAATCCACTACAGCTAAATGTACACTATAAAAAATATCTGGAAATTTATTAATATTGTTAAATTGCATTATGGGACCTTGATCTTTTTTTCATCAACCTTTAACCTTAAAAAGTTCTAAAAAGTGACTTTATTGACATTTGTAATAGTTTAAAGTGATATATTGTCTGGGTTGGTGTTGAATATTACTGCTGTGATCGCCAGCAGAAATCATTGCACCAATCACTCCTCTCCCAGCTGTCATTTGAACACACACAGCTGAAACTCATTTTTATTGTTTACCTGGACTATTTAAACCTCTTAGTTTCACACACACACACACATTACTGAGTATTGTCAAAATCCCTTTATGGCAAGTGATTTCACTTGGTGGCCATCTTTGAAAGACCTCTTGGAAAGTATGCTCCGGCTTTCTGTCTGAATGGGGAAACATTCAATTCTCCAAAACTGTTTGCCAAGCTTACGATTATTTGGAATCAATTTGACATATTTGGAATCACCAATAAAAAGCAACATCTGTCTCAAAAGTTTAGTTTCTAAACATTCTAATTAAACAAAATTGGCAGTTTTTTTTTCAGGTTGCCTGAGCTAATGCGCATGCACACTCGAAAGGGATGAGATCATTTATGACAGTGTTACACATTATCATCCTCTGGATAATGCATCGTCAGATTGCACTGCTCTTCTAAAGTAATTCACAACTTGGTCTTAATGGGGAATTGACCATATTGCCTATGACCTTGTCTACACTTCTGGATTTCCCTGTATTATATGTACCTGTTTGCTCCTGATTGACGGTTGCCTGTCTGATGTTTCTAGATAAAGCTGCACATGCATCCTCACTCCGTTGCCACCCAACTTCCTCGTTACAATTATGCTACAAAAACTTGTTATTACACTGCCAGTAAGTTTTCTGTTATTTTACAGACTTTTTTCTTTAAGTATTTTTTATACAATCTATCATTTTAAATGACTAAACTGTCAATAAAAGCCAATATGTTAATCTGTAGATCTAAATTTTCACCACCAAACTTAACAGAGCAAAGATCAACATCCCATAATGCAGTTTATGACTGGAAATAAATGGAAAACACTTGTGAATCACAAAATATGGAAACCGTTAATTAACAGATGGTTATGTATGTAATGTTAATATGTAATATTTAATGCATTTGATTGCCTATTTTTCTAATGATTTTTTAAAGCGGTATAGCGATACACCAATGCCTTAGTTTGTACCATTGGGGGCATACTACTTTATTTATATTATTATTATTATTTTTATTATTATTACTCTCCTAATCATTTTTGTCTAGGAGCCAAAATAAAATGCGAATTAATGCTAGTTCACTTGACTGTTAAATCAAACACTATACCAAAAAGTAAAACATACCCTGTATTTACATTATCTGCATTTAATAGCTAATAAGAGAAACTGACTCTGTAGCTGAAGTTTACAATAGGGAAATTATGTGGTAATAAAAATTGTTTTTATAGACAAAGTGTGCTAGCATTATAAAAACAAATCTAAAAACACATTTATGGTGATCTTGACAATAGAGTACAGTAGCGGATAAAGAGCTGCAGGGTGTAATATTTCTCCTCTCTAGTTTGCTGGTGCAGTTACAGTCTCTGCTGTTTTCTTTTCAATGTGTTTAAATTGGTTATTGCTCTGCTGTTTGGGGTCTGTGAGGACAAGGCTCTGTAAACAGTGAGTTTGCAGCCTACATTCACTTCCATTGGTAGTAAATAAAGTACTTATGCTGGTCTGTTCTTTATTTCTGGCAACATACACTCTTTAGTAGTACAATAAATAAATAAATAAACAGCAAATAAGGAATAAATCGTTTTATTGTTGGATAGAGCAGCGGTTTCTAACAGGGGGATTCCAGCCCACAAGGGGGCCTCAGCGAGCTTGTGGGGGGTCACGTCATATTTTTTACATTTCTTAGCAGTGGACAGTTAGGAGAACGATCATGTTGCCTTAGTTCTTTTTATTTCCTGGCTGACCAAATTTGTAATTCATCCTCAACAAAACAGTCTCACTGATTTGCCTTCAGCAGCAACTTGACCCAAGCATACTGGACCCAGGTGAAGAAGCTCCAAACATTTTAGGAGGCAGCGCTGGCAATACTGAAAACACGAAATGCAGGAATTTCCAAGATAGTTACCTGAAATATGGTTCTATTTCATTTTATAAAAGCAAAGAGCCCCTGACCCTCCATTATCTGCGGCAAAGTTCTTGCTGACGAATGCATGTGGTCAAATTAATAAGACATTTGGAGACTACTCATTCCCAATACCGAGACAAACCCATAGCATTTTTTGAGTGCAGGACAGAAAAATTGACAGACACCCAAAATGAGATGAGGGACGTCACAGCTACTGACACAAATCTTTTATAAAATTGGCAACTAATATAGGGCCATTTTAAAGGCCAAAGGCTTTTTTCAGTTACAAATGGCCTACTGATGTTTTGCTTTTATATTTTACATTAGGCTATTATTCATTTATTCTAAGATTGAGATTTAAATTATAATTGTCTATGATTTACTAGACTTCCCCCAAAGGTGCATACAGTAGGTAGAAGAGCAAAGTTGCTTCAGTGCAGTAAATATGTTATTTTTGTTAGCAAAAATTGCTAGGTGGCAGAGACGTGTGAATTCAAAACAACAGGCAATTTGACCATTATGTCCAGTGTTGGTGGTAACGCATTACAAGTAACTTGAGTTACATAATAATATTACTTTTCTAAGTAATGTGTAAAAGAATGCATTACTTTTAAAAAATATGTAATAATATTTGAGTTACTTTTTAAAAAATGTAATGTGAGTTACTTTTTAGTTTAGTCACCAAACATATTTAGAAATTGAAAGATACTACAATTAAATTCAAGCAAAATATTGCAAAAATAAATTACAACCTACAAATATCTTTACCTTTCTTGCACATTTTAAATAAACTGTCATTTATTTATTTATTTATTTATTTATTTATTTATTTATTTATTTATTTATTTATTTATTTATTTATTTATTTATTTATTTATTTATTTATTTATTTATTTATTAACTAATTAATTAATTTATTTATTTGTTTGTTTGTTTGTTTGTTTGTTTATTCATTTATTATTCATTCAGTTTGATATATTTATTTGTATATTTGATTTGTAGTCATCTTTAGAAAATTATAATTGGTCAAAAAAAATTTTTTTTTTAAATTTATTAAGATTTAAAATAAAACATTTCCCTCACATTTCTTTCATAGCTTTTCGGTAGTTAAAACGTTGTTTTTGCTACCAAGTTGATGGTCTGATATTTTGAGTGTACACTCTAAAAAATATTGTTTAGACCAAACAAAAAAAATCAACGCAACAGTTTGCATCAATATTTTCAAGTTACGGCAACATCTAACAAAATGAAGTTCAGACAGCAAACTTTATTAAGTTAGCCAAATTACCTTTACCTCTTCAATCAGAGGTATTTTTACATAGCATAACCTCAATTTTTTTAAGTTGAGTACTTAAAAAAGTAAGTTGTTCCAACTAGCTTTTTTTTATTAACATTTAAACAAAAACCAGTGTTATGTACTTAATTACCATAATTATACATGCTAGTTTTCAAGTTTAGAATCTCAAAAAAATTAAGTAGCTGAAATTAAATTTTTTGTTTGTTTTCATATTATTGTTAATTTAGGTACTTGTAAGAAATACATTTTTAAACAACAGCAATTTTAATTTCAGTAGCTTTTTATTTATTTAGAAACACAGTTTTCAGTTTTTTATTTTAAATATTGCACTTCTCAAAGTTTACACAACACAAATGTGTACTGTCTCACAAATTATAAACAAACTGACCCGTCAGCTTTGCCTTCAAAAATGTGCATGCATGCATAGCTATGCCATCACAATGAATTCCATCAAAACAAGAGTTATAGGCATTGATACACTTAAAGCTAACTATTAACTTATAAATTGAATATTTTACAAACTACTTGTTATTAGTTAACCTTAATTGTAAAACATGTAACATTTGTATTATTATAAACAAACATATATAAATGCCACCATTCATATAAACAGTATGAAATAAAAAGATCAGCATGTGGACTTCAAAATACAAAACAATGTAGTTGCAACATAAAGAGCAAAATGTACTTTGAAATAAGTAGAGGCTTCAGAAAATGCTGTTCTTGAGACGCATTACTTTTGCACTGGGATTCAGTCCATCAAGTTCAAGAAACAGCTTCTGAAACACTTAACAAGTATATTTAAGCTCCTTGGGGTAGCTCAGATTCAGAGCATATATTATGCCCGTTAGCAGAGCACAACACCTTGAGATATCCATTCCAATCAGGATTCTGATTCCCTCAACAATGATGGTTCCCGTCTTGTGGTTTAATTCCATAGTTGACAGATCACCAATGATGGCAATTTTCATCACTTGCTTTTCAAGGTCTGCCTCAATTTCTTGTGTATTCTTGTAAAGCAAGAAAAAAAAAATTAGATTAGCATGATAGAGATAATTAAATTTATAATTACTTCAATTTTTTATTTTACTTACATATAATTTCAGTTAATCTCTGGAGACTTTGTTTTATTTTACCCCTTACATGCATGCACCCAGCTACTCACTCATAAGAATAATTCGTTTCACAATGTAATTTAAATGGAAAAGTGAAACGCAACTGTCACACCCATTTTACAAATCTTTCTCATTATTGTCAACATCTGTTTATTGAACTAAATAGTACATTGTTATTTTAACACAGAGCTAGGTAAACCCAGTGTGTGTGGACAATGTAATATACCTACACATTTAACTAAAAGAGAGCAGTCATTGAGCACATATTTTGTCTTGTATGTTTCCACTGTCAAGGGAATATTTAATTTTAATTTTAAAACATTGTAATACTCACAGCAAACTCCTTGAAAAGATCCTCTTCTTTCTCTCCAAGATAGACAACAAGACAGTGAATGGCTACTTCTCTCCATACTTCAACTGCATTGTTCTGTTTAATTAGAAAAATATATATTAAGATAAAGTACTTACAGTAAATTAATATAATTTTATCTGAACAAACAACTGATGGCAACCTGACAATTTAACACAAATCTAAACTATTCTAGTGTGTACAAATTATTTACAATACCTCAAGAAGCATGTCCTTAATCCTTCCGATTATTTCCCCTTTAGCTCCTCCCCTGGATGAGGCCAGGTCCATTAGTTTTGGGGTGCATTTGTCAAGTTTGGCCATAAATGTGGATTCAAGACCTACAGTGGTTATCCTCTTGAATTCTTCATTTATCTGTAGAAAAAATAGAATAATTAAATAATGGAATAATTGTATACAATGTGTAACACAACAAATAACATGTAATATGTTATTGTTGTAAGAAGTTTTTAGCATAAATAACTTCAAGATGATTTTCTCGCAAAATTGTGAAACTAGACTAAAAATAAAACTAAACTTACCTGTGTTGCATCTGATAATGCAGGCCAGCGCTCCAAGATATCCCTTATTTCTTGCCCATTTTATCTGCAACAACTTGAAAATTGTTTATTTTTGTTACTTCATGCAAAAGGTTTACATTAGACAGATTTGTGGACTGTAAGATGGGCTTTACAACCCAAGCAGGACTGTAAAATACCTTTGATGATGGGTCCAGATGCTGATCGAGATATAAAATTTAACTCTTTACCAACCTCTTTTATACACCTGTAAGATACATTAAAAGTGCTCTCCAGTTTTAGAAACAACAAAGCTATTTTTTTTTTCTATGCAGTTTGGCAGGTCTGTCACATCATTATTGTCATCTTGACCTTCATCAGACAGATCCCCACTTTGACCTTCCACATCACTGTGTTGATCTGCATTGAATGAACATACATACCTTTTTATTATGTCTGCCTTGAAGTCATGCAATGAGTGAGGAGTATGTTTTCGGCTTCTGTGCGAAGCAAATGTTCCATAAATGTTAGTTCTGAAATTGCAGTTCTGAAATACACAGATGACAGTTTCGTGTTTTTTTTTTATTTCTATGGAAATTGTCATGGCATTGCAACAAGGACAAGTAAAATAAAAACTTTCTGCAAATCTGGAGGTTTTCTAAGTTTGATGTCTTGATAAATGTGATCTAAGGCTGCCCCATGTTCTGAAAAAACACAAACAATCTTGACAGAGGCATGGAAATGGTTGCCCACAATTACCATGGTGTAGTCTGTAATGTTTTAGCAAAACTATTTGTGTTGATGTTTCAAATTTACACATTTTGCACCCCAACCTATTTTATATACAAGCCTACTTATATCTAAAATACAGATCAGCCTAGAAAGTTGTAATACAGTTGCATGAACTTTGTATGAAAATCTTAGCAATCAGTAGATAAATGTAATATTTTCCATAAGAACAGGAGGAATAAAATACAAATTTCAGGTTGGATAACAACTGTGAGCAAGCTCCAGAAAATATATTTCTGCTAGGGTAACTAACATAAAACATGCAGGATAAAGCAATACTATTTATGAAAAAAGCATCTACTATATAAACTTTGTTATTTTGACATATATACTAAATTGCCTTTCTGGCTTACCGTATGTGTTTTTACTTTCTTATCTACTATTTTCTAGTCAAAAAACACTGCCAACATCAACTATAATTTACCAGGAGTAGCCAACACTAATGGAATGTAGAATATTGATTTGGAAATGAAATAAAACCCAGATTTCTCACCTTAAAGTATCCTTTGTGCCAAACAGTCTGCTTAAAACTTGTCCGGACATGCCTGTTGATCGTTCAGTGAGGGAGGAGCTTTGAAATCCAGAACTCGGTTGGTGTGAAAAAATTGAGTTATCAACGCAATTTTTTTGGGTTGTTATAAGTTAAATATTGTTTTAAACTAATTGACAGGTATATTTATCTTTAAATTACCCTCTTTTTTAAGTTGATGTAATTATCAATATTTTCCTGTTGTGTAAACTTAATAAAATTACTCTGGCAATTTAAAAGTTTTAATATAATCAGCAATGTAGAATTTTTAAGTTACAACAATGTATTAAACTCTTTGGTGGTAACAGATCGCTTGAGTTATTTTTTAGAGTGTACTTCTGAGTCCTTTTGGTGTAAATGAGCTTTTGTATTCTCTCAGTGTTTGTCTAAGCACAGTTTGCTGCCGGATGCTGTTTGCCTAAAGCATCTTCACAAACACATTCAGATGAAACGAAGGAAAGATAATTAGTATATGTGGTAATCAGAAAGCAGAAAGTGAAAATTAAAATGCTCTTTTCCTTGTGTCTGGACCTCAGCTGCTGTGAGAACTGATCAGACTTCCTTCATATTGAGCTTCATGCACATGCTAATTCTGCTTTCAATATTTATGCTTTTCTTTCTGTGCTCTGCCCTGATGGAAAGACTGATTGAGTCAATGCTATCAGCTGGGACTACTTTTAGTTTATATTACTGTAGTACATTAGCATCCAGAACAGCATGAAGCCGTACTGAACTAGTGTTGTTTTAATACTGTCCTATTGAGATACTATAAAACATTCTTCTTTCTTTTTTATTTTATTTCTAATATGTCATTTTTAGTATTTGTATTTATTTGTTTTTGTAATTACTGTTTTTTACTTTATTTTCTATTCACTTTACTACTTTGTTTTCTACTTTTTCTACTTTATTTTTTATTTAAATTTTAGTTTAATTACTTTAATACATTCATATATATATATATATATATATATATATATATATATATATATATATATATATATAATTTAAACTTTAATTGACTTGAATTTCATTTATTTCATTAATTAATTAAGTTTTTCATCGCTACTAGTAACAATTAATTTAATTTATTATTTTTTATAATTTAATTGTATTGTATTTTATTTTATTTTGAAGTATTTTGGCAAATAAACAGGAACTGTCACTAAATGCATGAGTCAGCATGAACTTGTGTCGAATAGTTAAATAATATCCAGGGAAAATATGCAAATCAGTAAATATATCTATTGAAAGGAGAGTTGAGGGAAAGATTAACATTCCTTCTTTAAAAAAAAAACAAGGTCATTATTTGTTTTTGTTTTTAAAGATTTAGAGATGAACCAAAAAAGAGGTTAGAGAAGTAATGAAAAATACTTCTGGCAGTAAGATTTTTAATAAACTAGAACGTTTATTCATCTGGAATGCACTAAAATGAATCAAATATTAAATTTTAATAAAATATAAAAAAATCAAATGTATCTAATTTTATTTCAATTTCCAAAGCAACACATTTAATTTAGATTACTATTTAGCAAATTAAAAATACCTTCAAAACAAGTTAATAGGGGAGTATGAAATACATTTTCAATGGCATTTCAAATATTTGAGGTCAGTAATATTTATTTATTTTGAGATATTCACACTTTTATCAAAAGCAAAAAGTTATAGAGATAAAAGTAAATGCACGTCTAATGTAACAAAATACTAAATGTTATTTTCTTTAGAACTTCCTATTCATCAAAGAAGCCTGAAAAACAAACCATGGCATTCATTAAAATATTAAGCAGTGGGTTTTCAACATTTATGATAAGAATAAATGTTTATTGATGAAATGTTTATTTATCAAATGCTTTTAAGAACGAGTAAAGCAACATATAAAATACTTATGAAGATATTTATTTATTTATTTATTTATTTTATTATTATTATTTTTTTTTTTGCATGTACTTGAGTTAAAACTTCACTATATCCTCAATTGTTGGTTCTACGCCACAAAAGGTGTTTTCTGAAGTACTGCTTTGACTGATGAGCTCACAAACCATTTTGGACCATCTTTACACATTTTTTTTTTTCTGTCGACTTGTGATCCGATCAGTTGAGATGGATCTGAACTGTGTGTGTGTAAACAGGCTCTGTGTGTCCTACGGTTGAGAAAACGTGTGCATTGATTACAGGTCAGTTTGAGTTAAACCTTCACTCAGACCCAAAAACCAACCCAAGTTTTTTTTTTATTTTTCATCCCTCTACCCGTTGCTTTTTCTCAGCATGCAGAGAAGTATTAAATCAGCCCAGCATCTTGTCCAATTCTGTCTGTAATGTTTAATATCAGATTCAATTAATATCTCCACAGTCCTTACAAACACAGAGCCACAATTAATCAGCACAGAGGCTCATCCCTCATTGTCAAAATCAAATCAAATAATCCTGATAAAACTGATCTGGGAGGGTCTGGAACGGGGAGACATGGGGATTGTACAAGATGCACAGAGAGACAGAATTCATTTATTATTGGGATTATGATGACATGCGATATGAAGATGAAAGAAGCACAAAAAAATAACATGCAGCACTGGTTTTGGGTCAGGAATAAGATTCTGGGCGTTAGAAGAAGGGTTTGATGCTTAACTTTCCTAAAAGACCATTTTCATTCATTCATTCATTCATTCATTCATTCATTCATTCATTCATTCATTCATTCATTCATTCATTCATTCATTCATTCATTCAAGTCTCTCATTTATCAGCAGCATAAACCACCTACTATGCCAGCATATGCTTTATGCAGTGAGTGCCCTTCCAGCCGCAACCCAGTACTGAAAAACACCTACACACTTCCACATTCACACACATACACTACGGCTAATTTAGTTTATCCAAATCCAAATATGGGAAACAAAAGCAACTACGGGAGACTCACATGAACACGGGAGAAATTCACACAGAAATCCCAACTGATCTAGCGGGTCAGCGGGTCAGCGGGTCTCTACTCGAACCACCTGAGCCCCTGAGCCACCGTGCCACCCCAAGAATATTTTCACATTTATAAAAAACAATTACAATATTGCAATAATTTAAAAAATCTACTTAAATCAACTTAAATAAGGACAATAATTTAAATGGATGCTTCAAGACTTTTCTTTTGAATGGATTTTATTTATCTAAATTGATAATAATAATAATAATAATAATAATAATAATAATAATAATAATAATAATAATAATAATAATAGTAATAGTAGTAGTAGTAGTAGTAGTAGTAGTAGTAGTAGTAATCTTGCTAATCCAAAATGTTTTAACATTTTATTTAACAAATTTACAAATATATACATAGATTGAAGACTGCTTTCACACTTGGGCTGAATGCCTGGTTCGAACCTAAGTTCGATAGTTCGATAGAATCGACTATCTTGGCTGGTTTGTATTCAAACTGTCTTTTTTCCTTCTGAACCCCCTATACGCTTGCGTCATCAAGATGCTGTTTTGTGTACAGCTGTTGCTAGGGGATGGCCATAAAAGCAAAATGGAGATGTACACATATTATGGTCGTTCTGCTTTTACTGAAACCTTTGGTTTTTGTACCAAAACCAAAATATAGAGAGACCCTTTTGTCTATTTACCACAAAAAAAAAATCTGAAAAAAAAAAAAACGTTCAGAAGTCATTTTTAGTGAAGACAAGCAGACATGCATCACTATCGCCAAGTTAGGTGATACACAGGCACACACAAATGAATAAAACCTAAAGTGTGTTGTACAGTTGGCGGTTTACTTCCGTTATTTTGTACGATTGCATTCCATGCACCCTTGAACCGTACCAGAGTTTGCACAAACAGTACCCCAGACCACCCCTTTCAGGTGGTACAGTTCACTGGTGGACACCCAAGTTCAGAAGACAGACCAAAAGTGCTAGTGTAAAAGTACCATAAGTGATTGAGTATTCAGGTATTGCACAGTCATTGTAAATTCAGCTGGCACTTCCAGCAAATAAGGACTTGGATTTGAATACACAAGTTAAAAGTTGAGACAGTTATTACTGTTTGTATCAGTAGATATCAAAGCTAAAGAAGCCTGTTAGAACTTTCAACAGGTGGGGGGTAGACCAATCAGAGCAGAGCGAGCTCACTGAAAGGCGGAGTTTAGAGAGAGGAGATCCTTAAACAAACCATTTCAGACATTGTGAGAAAAGAGCTAAATGAAAGTGTGTATTATGAGATTATTAGTGCTAGTTGACCTTGAAAATATGTAAACCAGTTTTAGGAGGCACAAAGAGTAAATTATAAATCAGGGGTATTTTAACTGTTGATAAACCCCCAAAGCAAACACACCCAAAACACACACAAATGAATTTAGACTTGACCTTAACTGAGCGCATTTGATGCTGGTCACTCCAGAGTGTGAAGTCAGCAAGGTGTTATTCTGCAGCAGTGAAAATATGGAGAGAAAAAGCTTCCAGCACAGCCCTGTGGTGGCATGTTTAAATGGTTTCATGTTCTTTCCTTCTGACACTCTGTTACTGCAAAACTGTAGCTTAACTCGTACATACTGTACATAAAGCTGAACAACATGCCAACGCACAAACCCCAGCATAGAGAGGGAATGGCATTTCTCACATGTACGCATAAAAGCTGCCGGCTGACTGGATATGTTTGTGTTTTGTTGATTGTGTGGGGAATTGCGTGAATCCAAATTCAACACGTGCCGCATTCCCACGCCTGAAAGGATTAAATAGGAGCTTCTAGTGGGTAAACAGCAGGGGTAGATGAAGGACATGCAGTCATGCAGAGTGTGTGTGTGTGAGTGTGTGTGTGTGTGTGTGTGTGTGTGTGTGTGTGTGTGTGCCTTGTATTCCTCATGCTGTGGGGACCAAATGTAAAGTTACACATGTATATTTTGACCTTGGGGAGATTTTTTTTTTTCTCCAGAAAAACAACTCATCAATAACGCAGAATTATGAAAATATAAAAAATGCAGATTGTTTGAGGGTTGGGTTGAGGGGTTGAGACATAAGAACACAGTTTGTACTGTATGAACATCATTATAAGGTAGCTGTAGTATATGTGTGTGTACTGGTTCTGATGAGCTGACACAACCTTGTGGAACCCCAGTACTTCTCTTTTCATCTGAAAGGATTTCAAGTTTCATGTTAGAGCTGAGTTTAAGGTTAGGTGTGGGAAAAGACAATATACTACACTGTTTTTACTGTATTAAATACGTCACGCTAATGGAGAGTGCTCGTAACCACCAATACCAACATATGTGCGTGTGTGTGTGTGTGTGAGTTAGGGATCATAAATTATGCTAACTGGTTGCAATGCTATCACAGTATTAG